CTCTACCACTTGAGCCACAGCGCCACTTCCCGGCTTTTTTTTTCTTTTTGCTTATGTGGTGCTGAGGAATCGAACCCAGGGCCTCAAGCATGCAAGGCAAGCACTCTACCACTGAGCCACCTTCCCAGCCCTCAATCATAGTTTAATGGAGATTGTCAATGAGAAAACACAGCTGGTACCTAGAGGTTCACACAAATAATTCTAACTACTCAAGAGGCTGATATCTAAGGATTGAGGTTTGAAGCCAGCCCTAGCAGAAAAGTTCTTGATATTCTTACCTGAAATTTTTTTTAAAAAAAGGAAAAAACAGTAAAAAAAAAAAAACAAACAAACTAAGGGACAGCATCTAGGTGCTGACTTCACACACATACCCAAACAAAATACTCATTAAAGAACTGGAGGTATGGCTTAGGTGATAAAGCACCAGCTATGAGTGAAAAAAAAAGCCACACCCTGAGCCCTAGTATGAGTATGTATGTGTGTGCATACACACATGCGCATGTGCACACACAAATACTGATTAAGTGAAGAGCTGACAACTGATTTTAATGTACCAGTCTTCTCATAGCAACTGAGGTCTTACTCAGACCTCATTACCAAAAGATAGTGTCCAAGGCTTTTAAATAAGAAAAACACAAGCATTATTATTTTAATGCTGTTCAAGAATGTTTTTGATACCTTGTCTTAAGGTTGGGATGCCAAGACAGGTGTAGTGGCTCACATCTCTAATCTTACCTGCCAGGGCAGTTAAAGATGGACAGCCCAGGAAAATAAAAGTTTTGAGAATTTACATCTCAACCAGTAAAATGTACTAGGTGCAGGTCTTTCATCACAGGAATCATAAGTAGGGTCATGGTATAAGCTAACCTGAGCAAACAAAGCAAGACTATTAAAAAAAAAAAGTTTCCAGATACCAATGGCTCATACCTGTAAGCCCACATACTCATAAAACTAGGTTCTGAAGATTGCGGCTTGAAGCCAGCCTGGGTGGCAAAGTCCATGAAGTCTCTATGTCCAGTTAGAGACAAAAGAATCTGGCAGTAGTTCTAGTGGTAGAACATGAACCTAGAACAGAACAGCACAAGCCTCAGGACTGGCAAAACAACAGCTGCATGGGGAAACTCAGTGCCAAGTGCATGAGGGAGTGAAAGGAGCTAGTGCTTGGCCCTGAGAAATGCAGTGAGGCAGTTGAAAATAGGTTTTGGAGTCCATGGGTTCAGCATTTGTTTCCTGACTCTACTTCTCTCTGGCTGGCTCCACTTGCATTTTCTCACTGTAAAATAACATTGACTAAATAATGTTTAGTCAATGACTGATGCTGTCATTAATGAGCAAGAACTATCTTAGAGTATAAAATAAGTATCTACAATAAAGCCAGATGCTAGGAAAAGTATGGTGCTTTTAAGAAAAAGAATTTAATACTGGGTGTCATGGCACACAGCTTTAATCACGGCTACTTGGTAGGTGTAGATCAGAAGGATCACAGTTTGAGGTTAGCCCATGTGAAAAAAAAAAAAATTAGTGAAGCTCCATCAATAGTTGAGTGTGGTGGCATGTATCTGCCATTCCAGCTGCTTGGGAAGCATAAGTAGGAAAATCACACCATAAATGGGGAAATAGAAGTCCTATCCCCCAAAACAAAGCAAAAAACACTAGAGCCTAACTCAACTGGTAGAGCGACATCCTAGCTAGCACAGGTCTCTGAGTTCAAACCTCAGTGCTACCAGAGAAAGAAAAATGGAAAAGCAAAAAGAATTTCTGAGGAAAACAAAATGACTTTTGTGGGGTTGGTCCTCAGAAAAACCTTCATGTTCTTCAGAGTAGATGCAGTGCATTTGAAAGACAAATCGGATGCTAGCTGAAGGCTTGCCTGAGATTGGAGTGTCCCTTTCAATGTGCAGCAAGGTGAAGGCTAGAGTAACACTCCTTTTTCTTACTGATGGAAGAGCATACACTCTCCTGGGTGCTGTTAGAGCCTGTCAACCTCACTACCTGAGCAGAAGGTAGGAGGACTCAAGCTGGGAACCAGTGGTGCACATCTTTAATCCTAGCTATTCAGAGGCCAAGATCTGAGGTTTGTAGTTTGAAGCCAGCCTGGGCAGAAAAGTCCATGAGACTTGCACCTCCAAATAAGCACTAACATTCCAGAAGTGGAGCTGTGGCTGTAGTGGTTGAGTGCTA